TCCTGTAAACAAAGCCTTATTCAAACACCATTTAGAAACAGTTTATCTGGTTGCATCTTGGCCATTGAGTTGAAGGTGTGCGGGGATTCTATGAAGCATTCTTTTTGTGGGGCAGGTCTGGCAAGGAGCTGTGTCAGGGTTCCCTGGGAGTCTTGCTCTCATGCTTCCCGTCTTTCATGGAGAAGACTTTAATGCCAGAAGCTGTTATGAAACTCTATGGAACCTTTAGGTAAACGAGATTTTAAACATAGAAGCTTACTAAGGAGGGCACTTGATGAGACGAGCACTGAGTGTTATATGTTGGCAAATTAAATTTAAATAAAATATTTTAAAACTAATAAACAAACACAGAGGCCTAGGTTGCTAAATGACAGTAAATGCTATGGAGGATTATGCATGGCCTGGACTAGTACTTATTGGTGTTACGGGGCAGCTTCGAAGTGGATTTAAGGAAGGCCTCCAAGGGTCAGGGTAGTAGTAGTAGAGCACTTTGCACTAGTGTAGCTATAGCTGACATAGTTGGTCACTTGATTCTGACGAAACACTGAGGTCATTTGGCAGAGATCTGGGGCCCAGCAGTGGAAGTGACTTCCCTGAGGACACCGAGTACTCACTCATTTGCTGAGATGGAAACCCAAGTTTTTGGATCTTCAGGGCCAACGCTATTACCATAAGCAAATCAGTGAGGGAAGTTGGCACTGACAAGGAGAATAACAGACAGTTCTGGACAGGTAATTTGGATTCCTGCTACCTCAGTATGTGGCAGCTATCCATGAAGGAAGGCTTGGTGCTGGGGCCTTTGACCTGCTCATTAAGTTTCTGGGCATGAAATTTCCTTGCAGATCTGGTTTGGGGAAAGCTCTTGACAACCTAAATGTTGTTGCCTTACGTGGTGTCATAAATACAGGAACAGGAAAATTTATTATGAGCATTATGACTTACCGAATATATCTTCAGCTTTGGGCAGAAGAATGATTTCTAGAGGGAAAATACGGTTCTCCTTTGCATTTTTTTCCCCTGGAGCTGTCCAGCCTTCAGAGCACATAGAAGGCAGTCTTAAAAAGAGTCATAGAACTTTCTTAATACCTGCTGAAGCCGGGTCAAATGTCCAGTTTAACCTGCTTACAAACTCTGTAGTCAGGAGTAGAAGCACAGGTGGCAAACTGCTACTTCTTATCAGAATATCCTTGCATTGAAGCAAGAGATAATACTAAGGAATTACTGTCCGCTTTTATGCTGCTGTCCACGCTCTTTTAAGAGTTGGGGAAAACGTTTGTGAAACCATCCTCCGGTGGCAGTGATATTTCAGAGCTCACAAAGCCCCGTCTAGGAAACAGGTTGCATCCTCGCTCTGCCAGAAGGGTAGGTACTCTTGTTAGGGAGAACCAGGGCAGCTTGAAGAATTTCAGGGTAAACCAGAGGTGAGATCTGAATTTAGCTTTGTAGGCCCAAATCAAGCTCATTTGTCAGAGGATCCGTTAAGATGAGGGCTTAGAGACCTGGCAGAGGGGGGAAGACAGCTGGGCTAATAGCCTCCTCTGTTGCTCTGATTTCCATTCTTTCTCCGGACCATCGATTGAGAATTCCCAGGACAGATGGCTTGACTTTTGACGTCTCTTCATCGGTTTGAGTTTTGATCTTTCACCTTCTTCTTCTGTTTCAATCTTATGTACTCTTACCTAATTTATGTTGTTTATGCCTTAACCTGTACTTTTTTTGTTTTTAGTAACTTTGATATTATTGAAGGTTTATGAGTTCATTCCATTTAGGGTCTAAACTGTCCCCTGACAGTTAAGTTCAGTTCTACCTTGAAGCCATTCTATGTAATAACACATATAATTATTATTACTAATTAAAGAGATCCATCTTTTCTTAAACCAAAATAAATTCCATTAGCAGTGCTAGAAGAAAATTAAGAATGGCCTCTATGATTTTTGGTTGTTCTAACCCTGACCCTAAAGTCAAGAACACAGGAAAAATATCCCTTAGTAAGTGATCACATAAAAATTTAAAGTTACTCATGGCCAAAAAAATCCGTGGTAAGCAAGGTTGAAAGACATGGCCAAAAAAATCCGTGGTAAGCAAGCAAGAAATCCGTGGCAAGCTGTAAAAACTATGGAAAAAGGGTCAATATTTATTACATGGCAAGAACTACTACAAAAAGACAGTGATGAGTAGTAAATACCCAAGGAAAAATAATGGAAAGAAAATAGAAAGTGGACCAAAAAATATGTGAGAAGATGTTTAGCTACAGGAAGAATCTAAGTAATGCAAATAAGAATGAAGTCATTGTTTTAATCTATTAGATGGATAGAGATTTTAAAAAGGTCAACAAAACCCAATATTGACATTGGGTAGGAGAGCAGGCCCCCTCATAGACTAGTGATACTGTAAATTGGTAACCTTTTCTGCAGGGCAGTTTATCAGCATGCATTACAATGTAAAATATGTATACACTTTGACCTAGCAGTTTCACTTCTTCCTTTTAGAGATCTATGTAGAGGGTTATTCGACACAGAGTTTGTAATTGTGGAAAATTAGATGAAATATAAATACCCACTGATACCAGGAGTGCACCAGTATGCTTGTATGGTGGAATGATGTCCTTATCATGTTTGTATTTATTGAGTGGGAGGGCATCCATTTATACATTTTTGGGTGGAAATAATGTATTATTGAAAAGCAGTGAATAATATAATGGGACCCCGTGGTATAGGAAAGTATATCTTTCCACCCTGGGCTTGTGCACATGTATGTAATGAGAGCCTGGAATGATCCTTTCCAGAATCACCAAAATGTTGTTAGTCATGGATATCCCAGGATGATAGCCTTAAGGTTATTTTAACTTTATTTTATATTTCTGCATATATATCTCAATGTGTGCCTGTGTATGTTCAAAATGAGCCTATATCCTCTTTAAAAGTGGACCTTAAGTGTGCATTTTGGAGAACAGGAAAGTACGGAATGCTGTTGGACTGTATGGTAGGTATGGAATAGGAAATAAGGACCTACAAGTCCGCAAAGGGCAGCTCTACTCCTACATGGGTACCCTAATATATGGTGCAGAACCCTGTTGTAAAGGAAGGGAAATCTACCCATACTTTCGAGGAGAGCCATGACCTTGAGTTAGAGTCCGTGGCTCTGATCAAATGAGCTGGGTGGGGCTGACCCAGTTCTGTTTTTGCACCTGGTACAGCTGTACCTTTTTTGCATAGATCTGTTTGCCCCGCTGGTTAAAGCAAGGTCATGGGTTTGCTCTCTACCCCGAGCATTTCCTCCTCTCTTCCAAGGAGAGGTCTGTAACCCTGTCTCATTGGTGGTCAGGGAGAATTGAGTTGGTTTGGCCTAAATCCTATCCCATAAAACCAAAGTCCTTGTTGCTTAGTTAACTGGAATTATCCTGGAGGAGAAAGGCAGCTCTTTTTAATATGCTTGATTATACAGCTTCTAGGCTTTCTACTTTATCTTGCTTTACTCCATTCTCTGGGGATAGTCTATATGCTTCATAATTTTCTTCTCATGCTCCTTTTCATTACCTAATTCGGTAATAGAGGTGGCATTAGTAAGCATTGACAGAAAATGATGAAATAAATAAGGTCAAGGCTGGGCCTTTGTAGATGACCTTTTTTTGTTTTGTTTTGTTTTGTTTTGTTTTTAAGGCAGAACTGGTTCTTCAGAGTTAGAGGAAAGCAGAGCTGCTTTGCATTGCTGGAGGATGTTAGAGGCAGGGTGGGCAGGTGGATTCTACCCTAGGCAAGGAGCAGAGCACTATTTATTGCCTCCCTTGGCCAGTTTATCCCTTGCAGCAGAGGGACTGCTGTGGATTTGGAACTGAGCGGGGACTTCTCTTACTTTCTTTATAAAAGCCTGTGCCACAGACCCTCAGGACACATTTTGTGACATCCAGCTGACCCATGGGGCTCTCCCAGCAAGGTGTACATTTGATACCTTACTGTGGTGATACTTGACAGATAAATACCCAGAGCACCTCGACCTGACCCTCATACTGGCCTTGGGTGCTGTTTCAGCTATGTTTTCTTGGCCTGTTTGAAATAGTGAGAGTGAGATTAGTTGAGGGCTACTAATGTTGAAGTCCTGTTTGAGTTGTATAAAAGTTCGGTTGTATAAGAGTTGGGACAAGCAGGAAGGAGGTCTGTGGGCTCCTCTTGCTCTCACTCTTGACCTTATCTTCAAGGCTAGACCCAGTTTGACGGTGCCCCTGCCCCACTGGCTTACTACACCAGTTGGAATGAACTTGCTATAATGACATAAAAACATGTAGTATGGAGCGCCTGGGTGGCTCAGTAGTTGAGCATCTGCCTTTGGCTCAGGGCGTGATCCTGGGGTCCTAGGATAGAGTCCCCCATCAGGCTCCCCATAGGGAGCCTGATTCTCCCTCTGCCTATGTCTCTGCCTCTGTCTGTGTACATCTCATGAATGAATGGATGAAATCTTTATTTTTTGTTTTAAAGATTTTATCTATTTATTCATGAGAGACAGAGAGAGAGAGAGAGGCAGAGACACAGGCAGAGGGAGAAGCAGGCTCCATGCAAGGAGCCCGATCTCCAGGATCACACCCTGGGCTGCAGGCAGCGCTAAACCGCTGCGCCACTGGGGCTGCCCATGGATGAAATCTTCAAAAAACAACAACAAAAAAACAGTTCAATAGTACACCATAATTGAATAAGCGTATGAGGGGGTTTGCACTCACCAGGTTAAAGGACCGTATAGCCTTAAACCACGTAGATTTTCCGACTCAATTAAGCTACCCATTATCTTTTCTTTAAGTGACCAATAAAATGTGCGATTATGTCTTACTTTGCAAGTGGGATTAATATCTACTGTTTATCTCAAGATAAATATTAGCAACATAGCTTGGGAAAGCAATTTTATGCCCTCCAGAGTGAGGTAGTGGAAGGCTAAAGTGTTGGGTATGAAGTTTTATCTTTCTGAACTGATTATCAAGTATACTAAACATTTATATGGCTTTGTCTTTATAGACTGAAATCGCCAAGAGATTGAATACAATTTGTGCACAAGTCATCCCATTTCTGTCTCAGGAAGTAAGTAAAACTGTTCAGCTGTTAAAGTGCAATTATGTTGCTTCTCTGTTTGCAAATTAGCTAGTTTTAAGATGTTAATTTTATCACAAGGAACAAGTGTGAAGAACATCTGTTACAGCTGAAGTGTGTAAACCCCCTGCTATTCCATCTAACAGATCTGAGGGCACACTGTAAAAGTGGTGACGATAGCTCAACCTCAAATTGATTTTTTTTTTCTGTGAAAGGCTGCAAAATGACAATCAAATGTAAAGCTTTCCTTTGCTTTGAGGAGTAGACTAAGCTTGGTAAGCCCCTGGTGATTCAAGTGTCCTTCTAGAGAGCTTTTCCTTTCCTGCATTTTGAAAATGGTTCCATCATGATTGACTTGACCATGGAAGCAGGTACTCCATTTGTACTTGTACATCAAGTCAGGTTGACGTAATGATGTCCACGGAGGATGAGAATGCTAATACTCCTAAGGATAAAATAAGAGTTTGTGTTACCGTGATGTACAGAGTCACTTACATATGTAAGCCATTTTATGAAGTTACAAAGTCACAGAGGTTGAATTTTTGTACTTTGAGAGGGAAAAGCTCTTCATATGAGTAATCTATGAAACTGATTCAAAACCAGTATATTATAGTTTTGCCTGCAAGTTTACTGTACTTTCAGATACAAGCTAATAAATGATAAGCTGTGTTTTCAGCCTGGACAGGATGCATGTATCTTGAGACAGTGAAAAGCTTCCTGAACTCACAGCTAAAATACTGTATCTGTTCTTGTTGGCATCTGCTGCTCCATAGTGGATAGCATAGGCTTCATCTCTGCCTTTCCTGGTGTAACATCTATTTGATGATAAAATTCAGATTTGTTGGCTTTAGGGATGGTGTCCTTAGACTTTAGTAATCCCGGATTTTGCCACAGCCTCATGCCTCTCTAAGCAAAGATGTGGCTTTGTTCTTACTTGTGAGTGGAGTTGGGAGGTATGCAGGGGGTTTCCAACCTGTGAACTAAGAGTGGGGGGGAGGGTGTCCTTTTTTTTCCCCCTCAGGAGGATGAAAAATCTAAAGGCTAAATAAAGGAGAAGAATCCCCAGAGTTTCCACAAACTACTGGCAGGTTGAGATTTGTTGACTTGAGAAATAATGGAAGATTTAATGTTTAAATTTTAAGTATAGAAATGGGGGTTTTAAACTGGCTATAAACTTTACCCACTCAAACTTACAGTGAACACCTTTCACAAACCTGGGTAATCCAAATCCTCATACCATCGATTTTCTAAGGCTTCAGGTTATCAGTTTTGATGTCTTTGTTGACTTTTTTTTATCATTTCAATTCCCATCAGAAGTTAAGTGGAGACTAGTGTTGGTTAGAAATAAGGAAAGCACCCGTTCTCTGTTTTCCTTTTCCTGCTGTACATGTGTTCTGTGAAATAATCAGTACTTGAGAAACTTCGCATTTAAATCCATATTCTACTTGGATCTGCATTGCATATGCTTTTATATTTTTGTTGTTGTTGTTGGAAGGTACAGTGAAGTTCTTTGGCTGCCTTGCTAACACTTTTTCTTCTCCTTGTTTTCAAAGCATCAGCAACAGGTGGCCCAGGCTGTCGAGCGTGCCAAACAGGTGACCATGGCAGAGTTGAATGCCATCATCGGGGTACGTGGCCTACCAGGTCTACCTCCTACAGTGTGTATAACCAGCTTTCATTTCTTATTAATTTGATGGCTTAATCTGTCTGTATATATCTACATGTATATAATGTCGAGGTGTGTTGAGGAAGACAGGTGAGCATAAGGTGATAGCATTGTTAGGAGGGGAAGAAATTGAGAAATAGATGCAGTTTATACCCTGACACTTAAACCATCCTTGTAAAAGCTTCTAGTTAGAGTTTTAAATACTTTCCTGACTTCTGGCATCTAACTTTGGATCACAGTGAGGTCAGGACAGGTCTCAGGATGATCCTTTCATTTAGCCATTCTTGCTTTTTTGCCTTTTGCTTTCTGGGGTGTTAGACCCTGGTATAACTGTTTGCTCTTTCTCTTTCTGGTGCCTCTTGCATGAATTTTTAAGTGGCACCCCAATGAAAAGAGCTCTCTCTTGCCGTTGAAGAAGTGATAATTGTCTGCCCCAGTGCTCTCTAGCCTTTCACCAGGTTTCTGCTCTCCTGCGTTGAGTTCAGTTAGCGCTCCACGCTGGCAACTGGTTGTCAATCACAGGTCATTTGCTCTGCATTAATGAGCCCAGTGAACCGTGGGGTCCATCCCTCCCCTCCCAGCCCCCCTGAGCTCGTCCTCACCACTGCAGGCCCTGAGACCCAGAGACGGTTTTCATGTTTTCTGCCCTTCCAGACTAAGCCAAAGAAGTAGCTGAAACAAGGGACCATCCTTTCTGATTTTATTCATATGTTAGTGCCTTGAGCGGATTCAAATCACTCATTTATCAATTTATGTTAATTGCTTGTGAGAAGATGCCCTGCTGGTCTTTATAGTTCCCTCAGACACTTTGTAATGATAATTAGACATGCTGCTGTACGGATTAAGAGTGCCATAGTCCAATGACGGCCACAGACAATGGAACCAGTTAATCCATCAGGGTTTAAAATTACATCCCAACTGGAGATGGAGAAAAAACATAAGAGCCAAGGAGGATTAAAGAATGAGCCTCAGCTTGAAAACTCTCCTTTCATCAGTTTCTCAATTGCCGATCTGCAGTCGGGTTGCCTGTAGTAAGCTATTGGCAGTCAATTAGGTGAAATAAAGTGGGAGGGTGACCTTCATTTCCTTTTAATAGCTTTTTCCTCCCTGAAATGGGGAGCTTCAGTGGATTTTCAGCTTAAATTTTATTCAAGCTGCTTTATTACACTTGACAGCTTAGCTCTGCATAAACAATTCTCCCCTCCTCCTCTTTCCCTCTGCCTCCCCCCCCCCCCCCCCCCCCCCCCCGCTCTTTAGATCACATTTTTGACTGTTACTTAGTGGGCTCTCTACTCTCTAATCACATTCAACAAAAAACACAATTACATCTGCATTTGTCGGCTGCCTTCTGTACCCTTTTCTTGTGTAATGAATTGCTTTATTTCAGAGATCAAATCAAATATTCACTGGTACTTTTGCATGTACCGTGTTTGATTAGCAAAGACTAATAGCAAATTGTACTTGTAGCTCGAGCACAGAAATTTTTTAACCCAAATGAATGAGGATGGAAAAGCCTGTTTTGATTAAAGAGAAACATATGCAAAGCAATGCTCAAGTACCCAGTTACACTTTGTGGAACATGTTTGTTTTCTGAGAGTCTCTAAATTTTTACATACCATTTCTTGATGGCGGCGAACCTCCTACCTGTAAATTCTCAAAGGCCCTGCCCAGTCCCACACATTAGGAAGGAGGAAATTGCATTAACCAGATGTTTATAGGTAATACTCCTTTTGAATTGAATCAGAAACTGAAAATGGCAGGTCGCTTTAGAAGGGCAGATGAATCGCTAATTTTATGAATGGCTTTCATCCAGGAAACATGTTGAGATTATAAAGGCAGATTAGCTCTGATAGCTAGCAACAATAACCCAAATCAGTGAATTGGGCCTCGCACAAGACTTAACGCCAAATGCATGTCTTCAGCGACTAGCATGTGCGGTTTTTCTAATTGTAATTTTTGGCTCAGTCTATTAATTTATGTCAGAAGGCTCTTTTAAAGTTTGTAGTGATCAATAATTATCCTGCACCGTAAGTTTCATGCTCTGGCATATGCTTGATTTTTGCTTGAAAGGAATTGTGTGCGTCCTGGAAAATTGAAGTAGCATAAAATTGGGTTGACAATTCAGTGGACCTTTGCACCCCTTCATTGAACATGCAGTATGTCAACCTGTCTCCCCAGAGGGGAGGAGGCTCTGGGAGGCTGTCTGCTCCTACAAGCAGCAGCTGCGCACAGAGTAAATGCAGCCCGGTTTGATAGCAGCTGTCAGTATTGTTCAGGGACCGGCTCAGGATGAAGAACAATAGGAGAGGCCATGCTCTTCGTCTGCATCGACTTTCAGGCTAAGAAAAGAAATAGTAATTTAACGGTTTAGACATCTATTACAAGTGTGAAAGATCATGAAAGAGTAGCCTTTAAAATGCAAATGAGCCGAAACATTCTCATTCCCTTTAAGGTACAATCAAGGAGTTTACTGCTTGCTTGGCAGGGCTAAAGACATTTCTCTTTAGCAAACCTGGAAAAAGTGAAATCTTCTCAAGGACACCAGAGCTTCTAAGGTAGGCTCAGCTTGTGTCCTGGGACTGCAGATGGTCTTGGAGGAGGAAGAGATTGGTTCTATTTTTTCCGTTCACGTTGAGTGAATTAGCGATGGCCATTTCTCACCAGCATGGAGACTTAGTTCTCCTACCTGACAGAAAATACTGGATTTGAAAGCCTTTTCACTACAGATGGTGACACCTGCTTTAATCTCATAGATTACTGGTATTTAAGAAAGATAAGCTTCTTAGATACTTGATATTTGGAGAAACTATTGAAATAGTTACTTTTAATGTGATACTTTTTTTAAACAGTTGTGACGGGTAGCAAATTTGATAATTGGCAGAATAATCACTGGAACCCTACTTTTTGAATTTTGCTTTTTATTAGCTCTTTTGCTATTAAACATGTTATGTTCTTGTAGCAATAGAAAGAGTGTTTAATAATGCAGCGATCTTAAAAGATATGGGGTTTGTTTGGTTTGACACATGGCTCACTTGTGCTTTAGAAAACAGGTGTGTTGTAGGAAGGGAACTTACTATAGACCTTGATCTTTTTTTTTTTTTAATTCTTTACATCAAGACAGTCTCCGTGATTAAATAGACTTCCTCAAAGATTTATTTTCCAATTTGGAATTCTATTAAAAATGCTTAAAACAAAATAACTCTTTAGATGAAAAACTTTGTGGAATAGTTAATGCTTTCCTAAAGGCAGGGAAAAGGATTGAAGGACTCTTCAAGGTCACTTTCCCTGGTATTATTTGTGGGGAGTTTGGAACTAAAAACTTTCTTCTACTTGCTATGATAATGATTTTAGTTGAGGTTGGGATTCCAGATAAGTAGTGTTATCTTTTAGTGGGTATATATCACATGTAATTAATATAGATTGTATGGGAGCACCTGGGTGGCTCAGTGGTTGAATGTCTGCCTTTGGCTCAGGTCATGATCCCGGGGTCCTGGGATCGAGTCCCACATCGGGCTTCCTACAGGGAGCCTGCTTCTCCCTCTGCCTATGTCTCTGCCTCTCTCTCTGTGTCTCTCGTGAATAAATAAATAAAATATTTTTAAATTTAACAGATCTTATGGTTATACATATGTATAAATTTGTATACACAGACTTTTTTTTTAATTGAGGTGTAATTGTGAATCACACCAATCTTAAATATACAGTATGATCACTTGGGCATGTGTGCACACCCTGTAACTCATACTACTTTCAGGGTGCAGATTCTCTCCACCCCAGGAAGTTCCGTTGTACATTTTCGCAGCCAGTATTTCTCCATTCTCAAAGGAAGATGATTGCTTTTTGATTAAAGAGGACAAAATGATTAGCTGAGTGTAATTTGAAAAAAAAATTGTGTCATTGTATGTCCACTGGCATCCAAGGACCAGCTGTCCAACCTGATGGTGTTTTGTCCTCATCTTTCTAAGAGCATTTGCCCTGTGTTACCTTGGACAAAGCATGGGTCCAGGATCAGATGAACTTGAGTGGGATGCTTGGTGCTGCCACTTTTTTAGCTTTGTGACCTCGTCCAATCAGTTAACCTCCTTGAGTATCCTCATCTGTAATGGATAATACCATCTACCCTGCCTAGCTTTTGTAGGGATAAGACCATGGTTGGCAGCCTTTACCCAGCATGATCCTGACTCCTCTAACTGCAGTTCTGTCTACCTTGTTTCTGTATCTGTAGCCTATCTGTGGGTCCACTTGACCAAGTCTCTGTGAGGGGTGGTGGCTCCGAGTGGCTGGTCACTTCCCCTTTAATCTTTTCCCCTGGTTCTATGGATGTCTGTGTTTGAGTTTAGACCCATCCAGATGCTCTGTTCCTGCCATTCAGGTGCCGTACGTGAATGGTTTTTAGTAAGGTTGCAGCAGGGAAGAAGCATTGACGATTTAATTTTTAATGAACAAACTTAGGATTCAAAACAGAAGGGAGAAGGAGCACCTGGGTGGCTCTGTGGTTGAGTGTCCACTCCTTCGGCTCAGGTCGTGATCCCAGGGTCCTGGGATTGAGTCCCACATAGGGCTCCCTGCAAGGAGCGTGCTTCTCCCTCTGGCCTGTGTCTCTGCCTCTCTCTGTCTCATGAATAAATAAAAATAAAATCTTAAAAAAACAAAACAGATGGGGAAAAGTTAAATTTTGGGAGCTCCTGGAGAGAAAATCAAGAAGCAGAAATAAGGATAAGACATCATTGGCTTCCTTACCTAAGAGAAAGGGAAACAAGGCTTGTGCTGGCCCCGAGGGGTTGCACAGGTCATTGTGATAGAATTGAAAGTAGAGAGTGAGGAGATGGCCAGATGATGAGTAGGGGTTGTTCTTCCTGTACTACAAAATGCCTGATTTTTGACAGCTGCCCCACTGATGGATGTTAAGACAATTTGAGCAGTTTCTCATAGCAATGTCTGTGAACTTCAGGAGCTCAAAACATTTGGCTTAGTGTAGGCCATCTTGTTTGT